ATCACATTTGCAAATATAGCGATGAAGTGAAGAAGGAGTTAGCTAACAAGCAGTCTTTCCTCAAATCTGCAACCACTGTTGTGCGATATCTTCAAGCTGCTAGACTTTTGGTAAGTTATCTCGGGTGATTTCTTTCGCTGGTTCAATTTTTGTTTATAGTACAATCGGCTGGATTGGCGAAAGAAGCGAAAATACGAGCAAGATGCACGTTATAGGATAAGAATGGAACACATCGCGAAGATTCGAGAAGAGAAAAAAGGTACAATGAATTTCTCGGATTTTGTCTATTCTTGAATGATAGATAGCAGCTTTAGAACTGGCGGATTTGCCACTTTTCGATAACGGGAATCGATTCGATGACGGTAGAGTTCCCTCTGTATTCCAAAAAATAGATTGCACTGCTGTCTTTTCAGCGCTCGAAAAAAGGATTGGTATGGTAGCTTGCCCCATGCCTTCCTCTGAATATGTGTTCAAAGATCGGCAATCGTTGCGTGATTTTAAGAGGTACCACTTTCACTGCTATATAACAGTTCTTAGTAGCTTTTTTTTAGATATGAGGCTTTGAAGTCCCGGAAAATCTGCTGCCCTCTATGTCCCATAAGCTCTGAAGTAATAACTAGTGCTGTTCAGTATCAGGTAATCGCACGAACTGATTAATTAACTATCATTCCTTCGGCTGATTTTCAGGGTCACATGACAACCCATCACTCGTGTGCGCATCTTTTTGCATGTCATTTTTGTGGATTTGTGTTTCCTTCCCTTGAAGCTTTGAAAGCTCACGACGGATGTGAGGGATTTGCTACTGCAATGGTGCAACGGATAAACCTTTGCGGGGAAGTAGATGTATGTCTTATTACTTTTATGAGCCGTTAATGTACACTTACTAATTCAGTGTCCTATGGGATTTGCTATAGTAGTCATGACTTGTACTGACTGCGGCTCGCAGCAGCTCGTTCGCTCATCTTTCCTTGGGGAAGCGTCTATGTCTCACTGGAACGAGATCATAAATTTCCATGTATGATTATGGATTAGTTTTGTACATAGTAATCTATTCTTATTCCTGCAGATGGCGCACAATGCTGAGAGCCTAGTTCCGTTGATCATATATTCCAGCGAAGATTTTAACTGCAAGATGCGATTACGATTACACACTATTTCATCACTAATCAAAGGTACCAATCCTCATTTCAACCATTATTTATTGAAATTCGACCTTAAGATGTCCAAATTACTTGCCCTTATTGTGGGAAATCGGATTTTGACACGCTCGAAATGCTCGAGTCACATTTCCTCTCTCACAACGAAGGCGTCAGAGTTTGTCCCGTATGCTCGAGTAAATTTGGACAGGAGGCGTTTTACAGGTCAGTTTTCTTTGCGGTTCAATACGATTTCTTTCATGCTAAATAGCTCCACTTGAGATTTGATCATTATCAGTATTTTTGATAGTCCCACTTGGACGGCCTTGGGCCTAGGCCATTTCATCTATTATTATTGTTCGCGCTGCTTCTGCTTAATTTTTGGTTTCACTATAAACATACCGGCATTTTGTGTAGATATAGCAGCCACAATTTATGCTTAGGACTGCGTTCATACTGTTCGCGAAGTCCGGGAACATCCAGCACAGCGCTTGAATAAATTACTGTGCCGGAACTGTTCCCGGACTCTGGGATTAGTATGAACGCAGCCTAAATGCACTTGATAACGATATATCTTGAAGCGCGCGTAATGACGAAAATGCATATTTTCTTGCTCAATTAGTGCTCACTGCTGAACCAGCAGACCGCTCATAAGAATCGAAACCCTATAAAGTCTAGCGGAGCCGGAGAACGAATCTTGCAAACAACTTCGATGATTTTAGGTTGATCAGAATCTCGTAAGCTACGGTCGAATAGGTTTGAGGGGAGATCTATGATTAGGAAAATAAATAAGCAATAATAATAGTAATGATAATAATAATAAAACAAGAAGTTCGAGCTTCCTGAAGTTCTCGCACAGCATGGAAGTAATTGTTGTAATTTTTCACGTATACTAGTACAAAATTTCAAGGTGTTGGTCCGCTTTCATTTCAAATTCGTGGCGTTGCAGGGAGCATCTCTTATCGCATCTGGATACAAAAGCAGGCTACCTGGCTCTATACTTGGCTCAAAAGTGCACCTTTGTCACGGTACTGCTCCAAACATTCGCTTTCTTTCACAAATTATTTTTTTT